ACTGTTTAATGGTTATAGCTACAGTCACCACTGTGAAGAAAGCAAAAGGCTCATCAGCCCCACTCCCAAGAGAGGGAGATTGGAGAAATCTTATGTGGACACCTAGTGCCCTCTTGTGTTCTTTCCCTTGCATCCTGGGACAATTCAGAGAGAGGACCGTCTCCCCAGAGAACTCTGCAGTTCTAATTTTCACTCCTGTATCTCCCATTTGTTGTCCATATTTAATCAATCTGAGTTCAACAACAATGCGATAATAGATGAGGTTAATACATCCAAACAATACAATACATTAATCCTTCTTGGAAATATCCTCGCAAGAGAAGACTTCCAAGTGGTGGTGGTAGTGTTAGGTGCTGATGAGCCAGCTGCAGTACAGCAGTCTGGTGCTACGCCATCCTCACAGAAGTTCCTAGGTTAGCGTCCACTGTTGCAGCCACTAGGTCACTCCATCTCCTTGCGGGGCTTCCTCTTTATCACTGCCCCTCTACAATACCAAGCAGGATGTGCTTCTACGGGACTGATCCCTCCTGATAATATTCCAAAGTATGACACCAAATCTCGCCATCCTCTCCTCTAAAAGAGCATTATGGCCATACTCCTGTGACAGACTTGTTTATGGCATATTCTGTATCCTTCAACAGCTCATTCAGAGGAATCCATTCTCCTCCAGTCTTCTGTATGCAATGCCCAGCTTTTGCATGTATATAAGGTCACAGGAAAACACCACTGCTTGAGTCAGAAGTACCTTATTCCTCAAAGTGACATCTTAGCTCTATAAACATTTTAAAGAGGTCTTGTGACAGACAGATTTACTCATTGTAAGGCATTGTCTGACTGCTTGGCTTCTGTGTCCATGGGCACTGACTGTGGTTCCAAATAATAAAACAGCCTTCACCACTTCAATTTTCTGCTTGTATCATTTTGTCATTCATTAGCCCAGTTTTAAAGGTCTGTATTCTTTATGTCTTGAGGTGTAATTCATACTGAAGTCTTTGATCTTTACTACTAAGATGAAAATGTAGGATCTCATAAGAATAACTTGGGAAAAGTCAGCTTTTATTACTTTGTTCCACTTACTAAAGGAAAAAACTAATAGGAAATTTATATTTAAATGTTTTTCCAATTGAGACTGCATTCCTCTTGAGACTTGTGGAGAGGTAAGGCTTTCTGCTACAGGGCATGTTTCCGGACTTGGGTTGCTATGACTATCCATGTACCACTCGCGGAACATGACTGCTTATTCTACATGAACTACATTAGAACCTCCACATTTTACACAAGAGACATTTTTCAGGGGAAAATAACCAAATGAAATTATGTATTTTCATGTTTACCCATAACTCTACAACCCAAAGGTCAAATAATCTGTGCAGGACAGTTGAATATTTGAGAATGTTCTACTCCGTTGTTTCCATACCAAAGGGACTCTAATCACTGAGACGGGCAGGCTGCCTATGTGACACACAGATATTATTCATCTCTATCCCAAGAAAGAAAAAAAATTACAAAATGCATTCCCATTGAAGGGTGATACCCACAGTAAAAATGGGGATTCACACATCGATGGTCAATGGATTTTTGACAAAGATGTTAACCCAACAGGTAGGAAACGAAAAATTTCTTCAATGAATGGTGCTGGGAAAGTTGGATTTTCACATGCAGAAAAGGGAATAGGATTCATGTTTCACACACACACACACACACACACACACCCAAAAAAAATTCAAACTGGATTAAGAGCCTAAGTTTGTAAATAAAAACCATAAAATTCTCAGAAGAACAAGGAAGAGCCCCACTGTCAGGCCTAGCTTTCAACAATGGATTGTCTAGTATAATAATAAAAGCACAAAAAGCAAGACTAAATAAGTGAGACATCATGGATATTAAAAACTTTTGTTCATCAAAAGGTTTTGGCAAAAAGATAAAAAAGACAAGGTACCAGCTGGGAATCTTCAAAAAACAGACATCTGATAAGAATCTAAAAACCAAATTATATATAATGCTTCAACAACTTTTAAATCGGAAAGGAACAACCCAATCATAAAATAGGGGAAAAACCTGAAGCCATTTCACCGAAGACATTGACATGACCACCAAACATATCAGAAGTTGCTCGGCTTTATTAGGCATCAGAGACATGCAAATGGAAACCACAATGAAATCCCATTTTACTCCCACTCAGATGTCCAAGATAAAATACACAGAAAATGTAGGGAAATTGGAACCCTTATCTATTGCTGGTAGGAAGGCTTGGCTATTGTGGAAAACAATATAGCAGTTCCTAACACCCTAAAAAATACAACTGTCATGCGGTTCAGCCATTATGTTCCTTGGTATATTCCCAACGGACTCAAATGCAGAGACACACACCTATGTTCGTTGTTGCAACGTTATTCACAATAAACAAAGGTGGGAACACCCATTTGGACTTCAACAGATGAATGGATAAAGAAAATGTGGTACATACATAGGAGGAAATATGCTTAGCCAGCAGGAAAAATTTAGTCTTGACACTTGTTACTGTATGGATGAAGCCTGAAGACAGTATGCTAAGAATAAGTGACAAATATTGTATGAAGTCTCTTATATAGAAGAAAACACAAATTTGTGAAGAACAAAGTGTAGTAGTAGTTACCAGGGGTAGCATAGAGAGAGTAAAGGGGACCAATAGTGATGTAAAAATCACATGGATGAAGGGTAGGGTGGCACAGTGGATTACTGTAGTTGCTGTCAAGGGGCTGTACACCTGTAAAACGTAAAATTTTCAAAAGTTAGTAATAAAAACATTTACAACAGCGAAGGGAAAGAAAAGAAGAGTAGCTACTGAGGCTACTCATGTATAACCACACACTTCATGGGATCTAGCTTCTTGGTTTGTAGTTTATAGTCATGGCTTCATGGGACAACCCAATTAATTGACCTGTTCAGTGTTTCTTCCCTACCCCTTAGTTCACTGCACAGTGCCTGGGGTCTTAAAAGCTTGCAGATAGCCATCCAAAGTGTAAGACTTAGTCTCTATTGGCCTGGAGCAAGAGGAAGAAGAACAGGGAATAAAACAAATTCACTACCATGGAGTCAATTCTGACTCGCAGAAACCCTTTAAGAGCACTAGTAGTGTAGTGGATTACACTGAGCTTCTAACTGCCACATCAGCAGTTCAAACCCACCAGCTGCTAGTCAAGAAAAAGACAAAGCCTCCCACTCCTGAAAAGATTCAGTTTCGGAAACCCACAGGGGCTGTCCTCCCCTAGGGGGCCACCATGAGTGAGACACAGGAGTAAAAGGAAGAAGTAGATGTGTGGCAGTTACCTCCATAAATAAACTTCCTCCTTTACCTTGAGACAGAAGAACTGAATGATGCCTGGTTGTTAAACATTTTGGGCAAAGATTCCATAAAACAATCCTCTTCAAAGGGGGGAACATACAGAACAGACTTTCAAATTCTCATGGCCTCTAGACTTCCCTGGAGTCAGAGGGTACTTGAACCCCTGAAACTAATCTTTAACCTGAAACAAAACATATCCCTGAAGGCACCTTAACACTGAAAAATCATTAAGATTAACTATGAAAAAGGTTCTGCCTTGACCATTATGTTCTCTCAGAAACAATAAATATGGGAACTGACAATATCAAATGTGAAAGACTAGCTAGAAACCTAAGGAGTTCATGTTAACGAGGGAGGAACAACTCAGAAAAAAAGTGAGAGTGGTCATAGAACTTGAAGAAAGTAATCAATATCACTGAATTGTACATGTCAGACTGGTGCGTGTTTGGTGAATATTTTCAACAACAAAGTAAAATTTAAGAGGAAAAAAAGTTTAGGGCGATTAGGAGGGAAAAGTTATCTACCCAGTTTTCACTTTTGATCTGAAAACAATTATAATGTAAAGCAAACTAAATAGTTAATCTGTTGATGGGTGCCATATTCTCATATCTACTATATCAACTGGGCTATAGGTGTTCTTTGTTTTTTTTACTAAATACAACTTGATTCAGCACGAAATAATTATGTCTGCTTTAATTTATCTTCTATAATGAACCCAATTATGTCAAGAAACCTGTGTTAACAGGCCACACCACTGTTTTTTCCCCCTTTTTCCTCTTACGAGACTCATTCAAATGCTTTGGTTATGGTTTATTAAAGAATTAAATAGCATAATCTCATTTTTTCATGCTTGGGCTAAACTAGAAATAAAAAGTTAGTGGATTATGATTCAAAGGTGCAGTTAGAAAATTAATTTATAAATAATAATTGTATTCAAACAACATAGGGTATGGCATATTAGTTTGTAAAATGGCAAAACCAAACATTAATTCTTATAACGATGAAAGGAAATGGTGTAATAACCAGTTGATGGTTCTTTATTGTTTTCTGAAGAAAAGGATTTTTATTCTTCCTCAATCCAATACTTAAGTACGTTTTGTGTCAATATACGCTCTGAGAGCCTTTCTATTATCAACCTAAAATTGTCTTTGACACTTTGCATCCTAAATGGTATAGCAAAAAGCTATAAATAGTCACTACATTTTGCTGCAGAAAACATTCCACCATTTTAGGCTTCTCTAATGTGTACCATCTATAAAATTAAAGCCATGTTCACAGTCAAAATTTTATCTCCATAAAGAACTGCTACTGCATGGTCACTCTGCCATGCTAAATGTGCTACAAATTGTTATAAATTAAAAGCTTTATACTATTTCATCATAGTAGCTTTTAGAGATACACATCAAAATTGGATCAGATTATTAACATTTTTACATACAAAACTTAAAAAAGGATGTCTTTTTCATTATTTAATGTTTAGAAGATGAATAGTCAAAAGGTTTTCGATTATTTTCCCCCTCAATTTCAATGGTTTCTTCAACGGGTATAATCTTCAGATGCCAATGCACAATTTCAGAATTTGATATTCCCAAATTACTAAAATCTTTACAGACAGACACCTTTTCTTAAGAATAATAAAGTATGATATAGATAGATAATAAGCCTTGAAAAATACCTGAGCGGTCTTGCCTGGGGGTTGCCTGCTTCTACATATGGATGTAAATAATCCTTTATGTAGAGGTCAGCAGCACTATTAGAATGGGTGCAAATGAGAATCCTGCTGAAATAAATGGTGCAAATAAAAAAATGATAAAACACAAAACTATTCAAGCAGTATAATACCAAAAAAAATAAAAGCAGTGGCCATCTTAATATTACAAATTGTCCTCAACCAACTCAATCCTCTAACAGAGGTGGCCTTTAGGAAATCGTTAATTCATTAGAAGATGCAGGAAGTCAATTCCCCCAAATTACTTTTATTTCTACCATACAAAATAATTATTACTTTAAAAACACTCAACTCTTTTCACTGTTTTATATATATATATGTATATATATATATCTCGCAATTCCTTAGCCAACTTAAGTGTTCTGAGACAAGCTATTTAAATATTAGCTTTCTCTACATGGATAATTTTTTAAAACTATGTTCCCAGAGAAGTCACATTTAGTGCCGTGGGCTTTTTGGGTTTTGTTTTCCTTTGTTGTGTTTGGTTAGTTTTGCTGTTTACCTTCTGCGCTGGCCTTGAACTGTCTGGCTAGCCCTCTTTTGTATATAAACACGAACAGAGTAGTGCCCTCTCAATAAATAAGCACACACACACACACACACACACACACACACACACACACACCGCCGTCTCACCGGGTGTCTTGCTGTTGGAGTAGGTGCTTGACGGCTTGAGCTAGAGTGAACGTTTTGCCTGTCCCATAGGGTCCGATGAGAAGAACAGGTGGCAGCTGTATTGAGAGTGGAGTCGTAATGGCCAGAACAGCCTCTTTCTGCTTTGCATTTAGGCGAGGATCCAACTGCTCATCCCACTGTCTGCGGAAAGTGTTTATAATTAGGTTATGATAACAATACGTGACACACAGGTATCCTGAATTTCACTGAGTAATTACAACTACCAAAATTAACATAGCCACTAGAAAGCTGGAGACAGGTTTCCCCTGCTACCCAAGTACAGCACCTCTATGAACTTTTCTAAGACAAAATGGAGTATGGCAAAGAAGCGATTACCATCCGTCTACATGGGAGATGTAAACGCCAAAATTAATCTAGCCAACTATACCAAATGCCAGCCTACATCTAAAATAACACTGACATATGGTGTTCACAACACAGGGAAAACCAATGGTGGGTGGTGGATGGACATCAAGTGCTCAGGGCCCGATTTCTTCCTGTAGCCAAAATTAGTGTTCCCATAGGTTGTTCATAGAAGTGAGCTGGCATCAAGTAAACTTTCAAAAAGCATACCTATTATTATGTGCGTGTGTGTGTTTAGACAATTAACCAACAGAGCCTGTGCAGGGTGTATTACCATGTGCAAGAAGACTAAAGTTTTAACTTGCCCTATTCTTGCCAACAAGATTCTGAGCAGCAATGAAACCACACACTTCTAATTTAGTACCTCAATTCCTAAGTCATTAAAGTAGTGTCTGTTTTATATTATAGCCGGCCCTGTTATAGAGCCTATATGTGTCAGAATTGCCTGGAGGAGAGAGTGGGTTGGTTTGGAGTTTTCTGTTACATAAAAACATCCGGAAAAGTGTTGTTGCTGCTAATAACGAAGTAGTGATAGTTTCTTTGTATAACATGTAAACTGAAAAGGAAAGCATGACATTCAAAATCCAATCTATTAAAAAATCTCTTAGTCTAAGGTGGGTGTAGGGGGCCTGGTAGGGCGTGACCACGGGTAATGTAACCAAGAGGAATTACTGAAACCCAAATGAAGGCTGATGATTCCTGATAGTGGGACAAGAGGAAGGTAAAAGGAAATAGAGGAAAGAACTAGGAGGCAAAGGGCATAGAGGTCTAAATAAAGGCATTTACATATGTAAATATATTTATATATGAGGATGTGGAAATAGATCTATGTGCATATATGTACAGATTTAGTATTAAGGTAGCAGATGGACACTGGGCCTCCACTCCAATACTCCCTCAATGCAAGAATATTTGTCCTATTAAGCTGGTATTCCATGATGTTCACCTTCCCAATGCAATTGCTGAAGATAAAGCGGGTGCATACGCAAATGTGGAGAAGAAAGCTGATGGTGCCTGGCTATCAAAAGGGATAGCGTCTGGGGTCTTAAAGGCTTGAAGATAAACAAGTGGCCATCTAGCTGAGAAGCAACAAAGCCCACATGGAAGAAGCACACCAGGCTGTGTGATCAAGAGGTGCCGAAGAGATCAGGTATCAGGTATCATCAGAACAAAAACTCTTATCATTGTGAATGAGGGGGAGTGCAAAGTGGAGAATCAAAGCCCAATGTAGGCAATTGGACATCCCTTATGGAAGGGTCACGGGTAGGAGGCGAGCCAGTCAGGGTGCAGTGTAGCAATGATGAAACATACAACTTACCTCTAGTTCCTAAATGCTTCTTCCCTACCCACTATGATCCCAATTCTAGCTTACAAATCCGGCTAGACCAGGAGATGTACACTGGTACAGATAGGAACTGGAAACACAGGGATTCCAGGGCGGATGATCCCTTCAAGACCAGTGGTGAGGGTGGCAATGCCGGGAGGGTAGGGTGGAGAGGGGGAACCAATTACAAGGATCTACATATAACCTCCTCCCTGGGGGACGGACAACAGAAAAGTGGGTGAAGGGAGACGTCGGACAGGGTAAGATATGACAAAATAATAATTTATAAATTATCAAGGGTTCAGGAGGGGGGGGGAGGGGGTGGAGTGTGAAAAATGAGGAGCTGATGCCAGGGGCTTAAGTGGAGAGGAAATGTTTTGAGAATGACGAGGGCAATGGATGTACAAATGTACTTTACACAATTGATGTATGTACAGATTGTGATAGAAGTTGTATGAGCCCCAAATAAAATGATTTTTTTAAAAAAGATCTCTTAAGTCAAATTTGTGGAGAAAGACTAAAAACCCTTCAGCACCCAGTCTAAGAGATGTCAAACGTTTACAAAGATCTCAACTTAGAAAACAGGTTTTTAAAGGTACCATAAAAGCAGAGCGTATGAGATACTTTCTAATATTTTCACACACACACACAAATCAAACACAGGGTGGTAAGGAGAGGTCAGGGTGGAGAACACCTGTCACAGTAGCACAAGTGGCTTCTGTAAGGAGATCTCACTCACTCCTGTTCCTACTATGACTTGGCGATGTTTCCAAGACATAAATGGACAGCAAATGCTGAAAGGGATCAAGACGAATGGGAAACCGTCAGCATTCTATCTCACAGCTACAAATAAGACACAAAATAGCCCAACAGCTATGGTAAAAATGATAGGGATGCGAACTAAAATAGGAAGGGTATGTGAAGAGACTCCTAAGAAATTTGTAATCAAATTCCTGGCAAGATAAACCTGCAACAGGAAGATCATTTACACAGGAAAACTCCCTCTCTGAGACTACGGTACTTAATTTGAAAACAAAAAGCCAATCATTCTACCATCAAGTCAATTTTGACTCACAGTGACCCACAAGGTTCCAAGATTGTAATCTTTGAGGAAGCAGACAACCTCGTCTTTCTCTGAGAGAGCAACTGGGGAGCTGAACTGCCAACCTAGGGGTTAACAGCCAAAGCTTACCCCCCAGTGTCACCAGGGCTCAACTCTTAAATTAGAATCTAGTTAGTCATAGAAAAACTAACATTTTCCATTGTAAATAACATATAAGTAGTGTTATATCAAGATAGACTTCAAACAAAACTTTCCTAAAATATGTCAAACCTTAGAAAGCCAGCTTGGTCTATATAAATAATCCATTACTTTTGTTTTTAACTTCATTAACAATCTGCATTATGAGGATGACACAAGCTTCCTTGTTGAGAGCCAAGAGGTCTTGAAGCACTTACTGATGCAAAGATCAAAGGCTGCAGCCTTCAGTATGGATTATAACTCAATGTAAAGAAAACAAAAATCTTTACAACTGGACCAATAAACATCGTGATAAATAGAAAAATAATTGCAGTTGTTAAAAGGATTCTATTTTTCTTGGCTCTACAATAACGTTCATGGAAACAGCAGCCAAGAGATCAAACAACACATTGCATTGGGCAGATCGGCCGCACAAGACCACGGTAATGTGTTAGGAAGCAAAGATGCCATTGTAAAGAACAATGAATCAACCCCCCGGTATTTTCAATCACCATGTTTGCATGTGGAAAGTTGGATGATGAATAAAGCTGACTGGAAAAGATGCATTTGAACTGTATTGCTGGCAAAGAATATTGACTGGCCAAAAATACTTGTACATACAAGCAGATCCTCCTTAGAAGAAAGAACGGGAAAACTTTGTCTTATCTACTTTGGACCAGGAGAAAAGTCTGTAGAAAAGGACGTGTGTGGTAAGGTAGAGGGTTGGCCAAAAAAGAGGAAGACCCTCAATGAGACAGACTGACACC